AATAACCTTCATAATTGCCCTCAGGCAATTTTCACACACTTCTCAATTCACTCTAGTATCACCACTTGTTAGCTGGAGGTGATTTAAACAAACAGCCTCAGAGAATGTGCACACAGCTCATCTGGGGCAGTGATAACGTCTGTCAGAATGAAAGCTTGGCTTGAACTGTCATCTTGGAAATACACCTTTAACCAAGAAAGGTTGCTTTGCTGGCATTTGTAATTATCTGAATTAAAGATGCTCTCAATTTTTTGTTTTGTTTTGTTTGGAAGGCACAGATGCTTGTTTTCTAGTATTTCTATTGCCATATCTTCTGTAATGGTATTGCCCAAAGTGTAGCAACTGCTTGTGCTGGCATGTAAGGATAGGGTGTTTTCTCCAGATTTCCCCTTCAGCACCGATCAACTTGTCCTTTGGACACACACACAGGCACACAGACAGCTCTTTAAAATTCTATTGCATTTACTACAAGATATAGTAAAAAATAATGCTGATAATTGCTGAGCATGCAGAGGCAAAATGTGATGAAGGGTAAATCAGACAACAGTGTTTTTTGTCCAGTGAAGGTAAGGTTCTGTGGATAACCCTTAGAACGGTCAGGTCTGGTGTCCTGCATCAGAGGGGGAAGTGGTGGATCAAGCCCTTTCTTTCTTCTTCTTCTGGAGGCTGTGGCTGCTTTTTTTTATAGGTGCTTGTTGCTTCTTCCATGCTTTTTCCAAATGTGTAACATTTTATATACATGGGATATGCATTCTTCAAAATATCTTACAACAGGATAGGATAGAGTTTATGAATCTCTCTGGGTCTTTTATTGGCCAATAACTGATGGTTGGTGATCTGTGCCTGTACCATTGGGTCTCCGGTGTTACCCCATGCCCATCCTCTGGAGGCCCCTGCTGTGCACTCTGCTCGTGCTCTGTGGGATACCTGCCACAAGAGCTTACTGCATGCACATTCAAATTAAAACAAACCTGTACCCTGTTTTTCTTCATCATAAGCCTCCTGTGGGTCTCCTTGTACTTTAATCATCCACATGTTTAATGGCAGAACAGATTCATTTTCCACAGAACTGGCCCTTAGAAGTGCTGAGCCCAATCCCACAGGAAGTTAATGACAGTGTTAAGCACTTAGACATATGATAAGCAGTTGTGCAAAGGCAGTTATGCTTAGTAAGAGGAATAAGGACCCTTCAAGGTGAAGAACTGCACTTTGCAGATGACTCTTACAACAAAATCTCTAATGCTGAGTTAGATCAAGCTTTCCATGGAGCATTAAATCTTCTTTATTAATAAAGAAATCAATTATCACACTCCATCAATTTACCATTAACATTTGTTCTGCATCACTTAAAATGTTGAACAGTCATAATCATAAGCAAAGAATAGAAACAAAGAAAAGCTGTCCCCTAATTCCCCAAATAGTATTTTAATTAAATTTCCCACAAAAGGGGAGCATTCACATTACAAAAAAGGTAATATAAATCTCAAGATCCTTAGCTGTTGCTTTATCTATTAGCATTTTTACTACTTATTGTTGACATAACTTCAATTTGTCAGGCACATGTTTTTAAAATACACCTTTTATCCTAGTCTAGACAAGCATTTAATCAGTATAATAGTCTTCCAAGATGTGCCCCATAGCCTCTGCCAGGATGGAAGTAATCTGCATGATGTGCTTTAATCTATAGAGCACACTTCAGCTGGTTAGTATTCTTGATGATGAGCATGTTAATATAGTGTTCTTCAGAAACAATACACATCTCACTGAGACATCACAGCATGTTTTCAAATGGGGAAAGGGACAGGGTTCTTATTAGGCAATGAGAAAAAAGGACAAAGTGTGCATATGTGCCAGTGCACTTCCTACATCAGTCACAGGCAAAAATGAATGGTTATAAATTAATACATGAGATGTTTTAGCTATTCATTCTTTAAAGTATGCTTTATCCATCAATGTTGGAATGGAAAATCTTATTTTAATGTCCATTAATTAATATCAGAGAATGGTAAGGTCCCTTTAGATTTTTATGCTGGACTAAACAATCTCAAGGTTTTGCTAGTAAGAAAATTTTGCTAATGTTCAGTCTAAGTCTGCACTGATAGTTTCATATCATTATTCTTTAAAATACTGCCTTGTACTTGTTTGACAATTCTTCATCCTTCTTGATATTCACATATTCTTTTTGCTAAACACTTATGAAAGTTTATGCAATGTTGTATTTTCTATGTATGGTTTGATTAGGCCAAGGTCATATGAAGCTGTCACTTTCTTAAGCATTTCACTGAAACAAAGTTTACATCAATGACTTGCTTTGTTTTAAATAAATAATGACATGACTCTCTATAGCTGGCCTTCTGCTCAGGGTTAGCAGATGCTCTTTGCTGTACAGCTTGGTTTCCCAGAGGCATCAATGGCAGGATGTTTGAGTGCAGTCTGGATGCAGTTTGCTTTCCTTAGTTGCACTCATGTGAACTCATTCTGGAACAGTCACAAGCATGTTTCAGAACTCCTACCCTCTATTCTGTGACACATTCCCAGAAAGTAAAGTAACCTCAAATTGTGTGTAGATAAATTTAAATAAAGAATAAATCTTCCTTCAACATGTCACAGCTTCTCACTTTCACTAGCACAACCAAAGCAAATAAAAACTTCCAGTATCTGTTGCCAAGAATAAACTTTTGCTTGGGATGCAGAGGGAGAATCCTTGGAATGTTTTATATGACAGCAACAGTAGGAGACACTTGCTGTTAATTGGTATGTTTGGAAAAACAAATTTTGAATATTCTCAGTGGGAAATTATGCAAAACACATAGGAACATTCAGTCTTCTTGTTAACAGGAACATCTCTGTAGAAAACAATGAATAACACCAACACAGGGTTTGACTCAGTGTTTTGGACTTTGAGCTTTAACTTCAGTGTTGTGTTCCACTCATTAATACACAAGGCCTTAATTACTGCATGTCTCTGGCCCCCAAAGGGATTTGAAACTATTTATGCCAGTGCAAGCAATCTAAAAAACAAAATAAATTGTTACAGAAACTGAATTAACACAAACATGCTCTAAAGAGTCTTACAGTTTTTTGACAGAATTGACACATTGCTGAATTGCATAATAATATAGGAGTTCTAAATAGCTTTACTCTTCCCATGCCAGAGGATTTACTGCAATAAAGCTGTGTACTCAGTGTAATATAATAATTAAGGTGTTGTGGATTGTAGCGCAGGACAGCTGTGGTTTTGAGCTGTATTTTTGTGTTTTATTTCCCCCAAATTATATGTATGATTCACATACATATATTAAATAAGGGTAGAAAGTGGCTGAGTAGAAGTACTAAAGATTCTTTGTCTTGAGAAGGCAGCATGAGATTCTAAAGGTGAGAGCATAACCCCTGTAATTTGCTCCCACAGTAGGTATAGAGAGAGAGACAAAGAAGCTTTTGCCAAGGGTGATTCAGAGGTTAAGTGAGCAGCACTGCAATTTGGACGTGCCCCTCTCTGTTCCATAGTGGAAGAACCCAGTCTTATTCCTGAGTTAAAAGGCTTGATGTGATGACTGCTTCGAAGGGAAGTGTATCTGGACTTTACAAGAGGTGGGGTTTTTTTGGTTGGTTTGGGTTTTGGTAATTTCCTGAAGTCAGTTTTCCTTTGTTAACTAAATTATGGGAAGCATCTCTCAGATTGACAAGAAGAAAGTTTGTCCATTATACAGAGTGGGGAAAGCTTTCAGCACTAGAATAATATTTTGGGACTGAATTTAGTTTCTATCCCAATCCCATTCATATTTAGCTTGTCAGCTAGCATGACTCCTATTGTGATTGCCTGCTCCCATAAATTACATATAATGTGAAATTCACTATGGGACAAGGAAACATAAAGGTGATTATTACCAAACTTTTTTTTTGCCAGTCAGTCAATTTGTAGCAACTACCCTCATCGTTATCACTCTTAATTGGACCTTCTGATCTTTGCATATGTATAACATTTGGATGAAGGTTTAAGAATTTATATTTATTTTTACACATTTTTATCATCTTATTTATATTTCTAGTTTATTCTCAGACTATAAAATGATTTTTAACAAATTGAATATCAAAACCAGTAATTGTAAAATGTTATTTTTAAAGATGTATGCATGCTGGAAATGAATGCAACTTTTCATTTTGGAGTATATTCTGAAAAGGACTAAACTTGCTTTTGAATTGATGTCCATTCACTAATTTCTATTAACATCAAATATTTTTGAATTTATGAATGTCAATTGTTACAAAACAAATAAAAACCTGATTCCTTTCATGTTATTCTCTCATAGAGGAGACTTTTGATATCTGTGTAATACTGTGTTGTCTTCTGCCATCAGACTTAAATATTTGAGGGAAAACACAAGAAATTATACATTTATAATGTAAGTGTAAGCAAATCAGTAGTGTACTTTGTGAAATATTTCACATAAACGAGATATAAACAAGCATCCCAGGGCTACTAAACTAGACTGTCACAATCAATTTTATCACAATGGAATCAGTGTCAGGTGAAATGGAAAAACACTGCTTGATTACGAACATTGAGGTCTGTATTTACCTTGGCCTGTTGTTGAATTTAGAGCCTCTTGTCATGCCAGAGGAAAGTAATAATACTTGATAATGCATTTTCCCCCTGAACTGCTACATAAATAAGTTAAAGCCAAACCATGGTATTGGGACTAGATTGGCATATTCTAGGGCACTAGACATGTATATGTTGACAAAAATCAAGTATTAAAAAGATTCCGTCTTTATAAGGTTAGATCAAGATCAATCATCTATCTAAGTTAGAGGACGGTGCAGTTGAATGAACCTCAGAAATCCCTGAAATGCCAACCTGGAAAAACTCTTTAGGTCTAGGTTGATACTCTTTCTGGAAAAGAGAGAGTTAATCAAGCAAGACTGTGAAAACACCAGCCCCTACTAGTCTGTCTTTGGTGTATAGAATTCAATAGCTAATAGCTATTTCTTTCAGTCCAGGTTGCCAAGCTGCCTCACTGAGAAATAGCAGTTCCCCTATGAATTCTGCAGGTTTGTTTCTTTTCAAATTTGCCTTGTTATGTGTCTTTTAGAAGGAAAGGAAGTCAAATGCTTTGTGAAATTAAGGGATAGAGGGTCGGTTTGAGTGGGTGTTTTTTTGTTTGTTTTTGTTTGTTTGTTTGTTTGTTTATTTGTTTTTCTGTCTAAGTGAAGGCTTTAGTCCTAGAGGAATGTGTTGAGGGATTTGGTTTATTGGCAACTATTTTTAAGGTCTATAAATCATGGACTGGGAAAGATTAATAATATTGAGAAAGCAGAAATAAGTGTTTTGAAAGAAAGCTTTACTATTTCCTCTGTACAAGGTCAACAATAAAAGAAATTGGTGAGCAGATATTCTCTTCTCTCCTGGGTGCTATTTCAGGAGCACACTAATATCACTAATGTGATATTGTCTGTCAGTGGTTGTTCTGGAGAAAATTTTGTGAAAAATCCTAAAAAACATTTGCATTTCTTCACTGGAAACACAAGTAAGAAGCCCAGAGTCCTAAAGGCTCCTAGATATCATATGTCAACAATTAACTATCAGTTCTCTAGGAAAAATCCCTAGGTTGTAAATGGGGTTATTCTAGTTATTTTTACTAAGTTCAAAATAGTGTATTGGGCAGGAATCTTGAGAATTCCGGAGTCAGTTGTTGGAAGACTTTGTCAAAAAAGATCTTGTGAAACAAAAACCCTAAAATTATTCTGCGAAAGCAATTTAAGAGAAGATATTCCTCCTGGTTTCCACTTTGATGTTTCCACATCTATTTGTCTGGTTTCTTGAGAAATTAATGGTTTGTGTTCTTGCAGTAGTAGCATAGTAAGGTGTTGTTCTGTAAGCAGAAATTTTGCTGCCTCATTTTCTCTTGTTTTTATCTATGAGATTGATTGTCATCTTCTCCTTCAATGTACAAAGTTAACGTGAGGGAGAAGACCAGGTTTGTATTACCCAGATCTCTATTTTTATAGGAATTGCAGGAAATTACGAATGGAGTTTAAAAGATATTTCCACTTAATAACTTTACAATGTATTGACAAATAGCAGTTAAATTTGAGAATGGCAGATAAATTAACCAACTAAACTTTGCTCTAAGTCTAATTTTCTTGAGAATTAAAAATATGTCAGGAGATATAAATGGTTTAAAAAAATGTAACTATGTTCAGAAAAGAGAGTGAGGGAAGGAAGGAAGTAATTATATCATGTTTTATTATTTCATTCACTCCAGGGCCTGATTTAGGTCTGTCAAAATCAATTTATGAAGACATTATGCCCTTCTCTTTTTGATTGAAATATCTCTTGAATTTCCTCTTGAGTGACAATCATGTTTTATTTTCTTTCCCTAGTGGTTCTTTAAAGCAAAATCCAAAGAAATTACAGACTTTTTTTTTTTTTTTTTTTTTTATCTGATTGTACAGAATGTATGTCTTACACTGAGAGATTTAAATGACTTTCCATGGATTGGCATTCTTGAGTTTTGCTAGACATGCTTCAGCAGGTTTATGTAATGTGAAATTTACAGAGATTGCCAAATCCATCAAAATATTTATCGATTTCCAGTAGATGTAAACTGTTGCAGGCCAGGAACCTAACTTGATTTTGAGGAATTCAAATAAGATGATGAGGGTAATGAATGAAGTATTTTTTTCAAGGCATTCTAGAAGAAACAGATGACAGTGGTCTAATACAGGGCTCAGCACTCCCTTTCATCACCAGAAATCAACTGTGGATCCTGGTCTGAGGGTGGAAGAAGAACCATTTCTTTAATAATTTCCTCAATATGTGATCAAAGGATGATGTTTTTCTTTCCTCCTGTGCTCTTCCTGAGCAAACTCAATAGCTACTCTGAATAGGTCCTGAAGTTAGGAGCTGGCTCTTAGTAACAACCTGTTAAAATGTCACCATCTCCTGGTCTCCATTGCTTACAAAATATCTTATGGGTTCTGAACAAAATAAATCAAAATTTTAGAATTAATTTAAATTTTGTCCTTGAATGTATATGTATTGTATTAGCAAAGCTCTGCTGCTGCACTCCATTTAGTTAACTGAAGATAGTTCACACACACAAAAGAATAAGTATTTCTAAGGTTGTTTTGCCAGTTCTATAAAACCAAGATTCTAACTTTGGACTATCCAGTTTATATTTTTTCTCAACAGAATTATTATCTTCCAATGAATACTATGAAGTAAATGGTTATTTACAATAAAGAGTCTCATATCAGGAAATCAAAAGAAGGTTTTATCAGAAAAATGATCAAGGTGTAATAAATAAAATGCAATAATAGTAATAGCAGTAAATGATGATAGGTATTATGACTGATCAGAGGAAATTACATGAGACTAAAGGAAAGGGTCCAAGCACCGGCATAGAATATGAACAGAAAATGAAATGACAAAGTGAAAACGAATAGAATAAAGCACTGGCAGGCTGCTCTTATAACAGTTTTTCCAGGTCAATCTTTAACAAAGAAGGTTCCTTTAAAGGTACACTGGGATTTTTAAAATTCTAAAGTCATTAAAAGATGTATCTTGTTTTTATGGCCATGTCTCAATTAACCATGACTTGTAACAGCATATCACACCATGCAAAGACCTCACCACTCTATAGTAACAATTTTCAACAGCAATAATTTCATTTAAAGTGTTTTTTTGCTAAAAGAGGTTGATGGCTACCAGCTATTATATCTTGACTGTAAAGACAATCACAGCCCTCATTAAACCTTAGTTATTCCAAGTAGTTCCTTGAAGGCTTAAAAAACCCCAAATAATGAAGCCTCTTTATACCGTAAAAGCATCTGGTGATGGTAGTGGGGAAAAAGGAGCTTTCCCTGAGGCACAATGTTGCAGGGAAACATGACTATGTCTCTGCTTGCTATCGAGGGATTAGCTTGCTAGCTGGGAATGGTGGATATGCATGCACTGGACATAGAAATCTGGGAATGATCAACAAGGACGAAAAGAGATGGAGTTTTACAGATAGGTGGTAGTTTGAGGAGCAGATGTGGGGAATTCAGAGCTATAGAACTGCTTCCCTCTATTCATGCTGTGTTTGGGGAAATAGTACTTGCTATATTTTTAAAAGTAAAGTTACATGAAACTATGTGTTTGACTGATGTCTGCAATTTTCTCATTCCAATTGAAATAACCTTTCAAGGCTCCAAATTACTACCAATGGACTTAGGTCAGAGAAGCAATGACATTTTCTTATTGCTGCATTTGCATTTCATATAATTTACAAGTTCTGAAAGGACTGGGCTTTATTTCCTTCAGCATTAAATTATATGAGCCTAAATAAGCTTTTCTTGTTGAGGCTACCAATATAAACTTATGGTAATGAAGCTGCACAAGTGTGCTGAAGTACTTCTTGTTTAGGATTTAAATCCTCTCTTTGCCTACCTCTCCAGGATGAAAAATATTCAAAAGTGCTAGGGATCTGACCTGCTGCTTTTCTTACTTTTTCAACTTTGAAATGTGTGCTTGCCAAGTGAATTGAAGAAGTGAACACGTTTTGTAAGTTGTCATTCTGTATAGAGATTTACGGCTTTCCATTTCTATTTAGAATTAAAGAATGATGGTGTAGCCCTTTCCTGAAAAGTCCAATAAAACCAAAGTGATGCGCACAGTATATAATGAGAACTAAATGGAGCTTTCAAAATCACTGGTAGCTATGCATCTCTGTCAAGCTGTCATTTATCACACAATCAAGCCTCAAGCAGAAACCAAGCCACAAAATGGCATTACAAAAATACACTCTTAAAGCCTTGTTGAATAGTTTTCAGAATATTGTCAGAAATGCTTTATTTTGTTAGCTTATTTATTGACACTGTATAATTATTATCTAGTAAGCAAGTATTTCTTGGACAACTATCAAAAGTCATAGCTTCTACTATATGTATGAATTGTGATTAACTCAGACTTTCATATTTAAATGATATTTCCCAATGGTTATGATATTTTAATACATATAGTTCAACATCACAAATTAAAGGAGCTTTTCAGAGTTCTTGTAATGTATCTCTTCTCACACAGCAGTAAGTATTCTATTTTTACATAATCATGTTGGATGAAAAGAACCTCTGAAAGTCATCTAGTCTATCTTTCCTCTTGAAGCAGAACTATCATGAACACTAAGTCAGCCATGTATTTGATTAGCTGGGCCTTATAAACCTGCAAGGATAAAGATCCTGATCCTTCTAAATCAAAGTGTCACACCAAAATCCTGGTGAAGTTTTTCCTCAAATCCAATCTGCAGTGTGTGGCTGGACAGACACAGTGTTGTGTCTGCCACTCCAGAATCTTTGTGATTCCTTTCAAGTAGATGTAGGTTGTTATTAGGAGGAACTTTAGTCCTTCTTATTTTCACATTATGCTAGCCTAGGACCTCTCTCCTCATGGTCTAGATTCCTTATGTAGTGCCTTCCACTGGACCTTCTCCAGCTTCTCCATACCCCTCCTGAATGGAAGTAGGATGGTATCTTCTTTTGGTCTCCTTGCTACTCTTTTTCTAATGCAGTTCAGTAGGAGGTTTGCCTTATGGAATGAGAATGCACTTCTTGTTGCCTTATATTCAACATTGTGTCCACAGTGGTGTCAGCAGCATTCTCCCCTCAGCCTGCACTGATGTGTGGGGTTACCCCCCACTGGGTGCAGAAGAGGTAACACCTCCTTATTGAACCCTATGACGCTCCTGTTGGCCTAGTCTTCATGTTTGTCCATGTTATTCTGAGTAGAAGTTCAGCCATGTGTTGACAATCTCTTCCCTTTCATTTAGTACACCCTATCTAAAATTTGTCCTGTGTCTTATTATCCAAATCACTGATGAAGATATCAAAGAGTACAGGAGTCAGTATTGGTTTATGTGGTACCCTGCTCATCACCAGCCACCAGTAACTAGTAACTAATTGTCATTTGATCTATAGGAGCTAACATTGTAGTGAACATTCAGTGCTCTCTGATTCTTTTGAGCTTCAGATAAATTAAAAGAAAACTTCCTTTCACTTTCCAAGAATACTTT